TTCTTAAACCGTACTGCCCAGCCCTACTTGTTATGGGATTACATATATTTAACTGCGTTCACTCATTATTACATTCAAATCTTCCTCTCATCAGCAACCTTAAACCATCTCATTCTTCACTGTAGCACCTACCTGCACCTCAGCAGGTCTGGCTCTCCCTGTCTCACCCTCAGCAGGTCTGGTGCTGCCTGTCTCACCCTCAGCAGGTCTGGCTCTCCCTGTCTCACCCTGAGCAGGTTCCTGCTGAACTTCCTCTGATCTCTAATATAAAAACAGTGGACAGGAATAAGGAGTAAAAATACTGTTGGACGATTAGTGCAACATTAAAATCATGGTTGTTATAGTATTATTTAGTCGTGTTCACTTGTTATCATGCTCGGATCTTCCTCTCATCATCAACCATCTAAAATCTCACTCCACTGTAGCACCTACCTGCACCTCAGCAGGTCTGGTGCTCCCTGTCTCACCCTCAGCAGGTCTGGTGCTGCCTGTCTCACCCTCAGCAGGTCTGGCTCTCCCTGTCTCACCCTGAGCAGGTTCCTGCTGAACTTCCTCTGATCTCTAATATAAAAACAGTGGACAGGAATAAGGAGTAAAAATACTGTTGGACGATTAGTGCAACATTAAAATCATGGTTGTTATAGTATTATTTAGTCGTGTTCACTTGTTATCATGCTCGGATCTTCCTCTCATCATCAACCATCTAAAATCTCACTCCACTGTAGCACCTACCTGCACCTCAGCAGGTCTGGTGCTCCCTGTCTCACCCTCAGCAGGTCTGGTGCTCCCTGTCTCACCCTCAGCAGGTCTGGTGCTCCCTGTCTCACCTTCTTCATCATTTTCCTGCTGAACTTCCTCTGGTCTCTTATATGAAAAAAGTGAGATGAATAAGGTTTAAAAATGAAATGTGATGAGAATGTCACAAACAAGCAACAATCACACTTACAATCTCCATTTTTATGTGGAGATTCAACTTTTTTATTTATTTTGTGTCAAATGGTTTTTGTCTGTTACTGTAAAATTCGCCATTTTTTGTTGACTAGTAGTGTTGTTTAATGTTTAATGCTAACTAGCAAGATGTTTACGCTAGTCAGCCATTTTAGCGTTTGACCAGAAATACAATTATACTCTTGGACTAAATTATTACCAACTCACATTTCCTTTCTTTCTTTTTTTGCCCATGAGAAGAACTCGCTGAGCTGCTGCCGTCTGTCTCTGACACCTGTGTCTGCCCCGGCTCTGACTCCTGCTTCACTCAGCCAGTCAGCCTAACTCCCTGAGGGGAGGGGCTGTGTCGGAGAGAAGTCAGAGGTGTCTTTCAAAATAAAAGCTCGCAAGTCAAATATTTCAAAATCAATCTTTTTCTTCTCCATGTTATTGGGGGGGACAAATGCGCGTTTGTCCAATATTGGAGGGGACACGTCCCACCCGTCCCCCCCGGTTCCTACGCCCTTGATTGGCAATCAAGGCTCACGCAGCCCCTGTTAATCGATGCTAGATAAATGATAACAGAAGTGAAGGACTTCAAGACTGTGACAGGAACTGGGCGGGCTTCGCTCAAGTGGGGCAGAGAAGTGCCACAAGCAAGGAAACAAAAGCGGGCATGAGTAGTGTTGCTTTTGGAGACTCTGAGATAGGGCTGGGCAATATGGCCTAAACTCAATATCAAGATTTATTGAGGATTTCACCTTGATAACGATAGACGGTATGCCCAGAAACAAAAGTTGTCCACTAGATGGGGCTGTCACATGTATTGCATTAAGTCACATTTTTACATGAATAAAGGTGGTACAGCTTATTAAAGTGACATAAATGTTGCCAACCTACACACATCTTTTCATTTTTTTATTATCAAATTTATTGACATGGGAAAAATGATCACAATGAGGGTCAGAAGTTTTGATAACAATACATTTTCGATTTATTGCCCAGCTCCACTCTGACATGAAGCACACAGTTTCCTACTCTTCTCACTGATCAGCGGTGCTGTCGAGGGATCCGCTCCCATCAAAAAACGCTCACAGCAGATGATTAGACCTCACGCTGCTGAGGCGTTACCCCCACCGCATCCAGAATGTCAGTGAATAGCGCATGTGAGAACCTGCCTCTGGCTGATTCTACTCACTTCAGTCAGAGGCTTCCACGAGTAGGCACTGACATGACAACATCCAGCCAATCAGTCCATAGTGAAGGGTATGTAGGGTTGGCTTAGCTCGAAAGAAACCACAAGGAGCAGGTGGTTGGCTCCGCGCCACCAACACCAAGGTAGATGTAATGACCCTACTAGGGCCAGACCAAGCTGACCTCTATGTAAATTTGCCATGACAAAACAAGCTGCAGCTGGTCACACCCACCCCCTACCCCGCTCAAGCTACTATTAGCTGAGAAGCTCTGATATTTCAGAGGTGCTCAGAGAAGAGCCACTGCTCCTCCAGCAGCAGCTCTCTCTTGCACATAACAGATTGTTCTACTCTGAAATTCATTCTATTAAAAGTCTTTATTTATGATGTCACAAAAGGGGACTTTTCAAAAACGGCTTGTTTTGCGCACATAATCCCTAAGACCAAAGACTGACAGAAAACAGATGTGCGGCTTTTTTCATGTTTGGAGTGTTTAAAGAGGTAGTAGAGACCCACGTGGCAGCACAAAATAATGCATAACATGTCCCCTTTAAAATGTCTGCAGTAGTGTGGACAGGACCAGAAAGTACAACTTAAATGTCATTATTTTTGTCATTCCTTAGGACCTAGTGTCCCAAAACTATCCCAAATGTTCAAAGGACTTTGAAAACCTAAAGCAGGAACCACTGTGATTGCTCTGGCACTATCCTGTTGGTTCGTCAGCTCTATCTGTAACCGTATAAGGCAGACCGAATTGGGTATTTTTATAGCCTTAAGGTGGTTTGGTATCCTATCTGAGGACAACGCGTCTTTATGATAGGGATTGTTGTAACTTTGGGCAGTCAGGCATCAGGAGTGTAAGAGACTGAAGGAGTGTGTTGTGGGAATTTTTACAATAAAGCTCAGTTCATCTCCTCTTTAAACACACACACACACACACACACACACACACTCAAATTAGCCAACTTTAAAAGCTCTGAACAGTTTGATTATGGCCGGCTGGCCATGAAAAATTAACAGGTTTATCTCTTCCCACTCTCTATCTCCTCATGTCCCTCCTCTGTGTTTTTCTGCCCTTCTTCTCTATGATAGTAACTCTTTGAAAGGGCCCCTTCCCCCTGTTCTGTCCGTCTCCATCCGTCCCCACCTTCATCCCGGCTGTACTTTTCCAATTTTCTCTCAGTGTCTCCCACTGAGCCCAGGGGAGGACTGAAGGAGAATGAAGCTGTGATTAAGTTGATACATTTGAGATAATAAAAGCAGAATGGCTATCAGTCTCTCTTGTACTCACGTCCTCCTCACACCCTCCAACACCACGCTTCACGCCCTTTTTCTCTTAGCTCTGGGCACTTTGGACACCGATAGGCGAACCATATGAAAGGACAATGGATGGGGAAATGGTGGAAGGAAGAGAGAGGATATTTGAGATATGTACAGAAAGTTTTCTTCTCTGTACTTCATATCGTACATTACTTCAGCACAACCCTACAAAGCGGTGTCTACACATTTTAAAGGCTTGATATGATTGGGTCTTGTTCTGTTATCAGTGAAATAATGTACGTCTGCTTCCTTTACCCTTAGTGCATTTTTGATGTCCTACTTTCAGTTTGTCCACTCAGACCATTCAGTGTTTAAGGTTTTGCAGCAAATTAAGATTGACAGAAACCCCTCCCTGGGCTGCCACCTTACTGTGGTGGAGGGGTTTGAGTGTCCCGATGGTCATAGGAGAAATTGTCTGAGGCTTTATGCCTCTGGTGGGGTCAACCATGGCAAACATGTCCTAGGTGAGGGATCAGACAAAGAGCAGCCCAAAGACTCCTTATGAAGAATGGAAACAGTGTTCCCTTGCCTGGACACGAGTAGGCACTTGCTGTTTCCAATCCAGACACTGTGATAAGACAGGTAGAATAGAAAACCTCGGCGCGGCGCAGATTTCTTTCTTTTTTATTTTTTACTCAGCGCTTGTGCGCCCCTTTTGTGTCATGAAAAAATGCCGCCCCGGGCTACTGCCCTGTCTACCCGTGCCTAAAACCGCTACTGACCCTGGGCAACTCTAGGTCCCCTGTAGTTCTAGAGCTCCCAGTCCCCCGCGAGTACTTCTCTCAGCTCTCCAGTCGCTGATCAAGCACACCTGTTTGTCATTAACTCACCTGTCCCTGTTAAGTCATCACCCCTCTCAGTAGTACCCTGTTTTCATTCCCTTACATCAGACCCTCCTGTTATTTTAAGTTTCCTATATGTAACGTGAGGAAATATGGGTTTTCTGTCACAAAGCTGGTGTTTGACCCGACTGGGTCGCTCAGAACTTTAACACACAGATTGGGACCTTTGCAGACATGAAGTCTGCGAGAGTCTGGAAGAAGCCATAACATCTGCCACCTGCAGTACAAGAAGAAGGAGTTCTCATGGACAAGTAGTCATAACAAGTCTTAAAACGTCCTTTCTTGATTTTAATGTTAAAGAATAACCATTATCATTTTGCTCATTATAAATGTGTTTAATCAAATGAATGGTTCTTATGCTTTGGGTAATTATAATGGATTAATGAATCCATACTTAATTAGATAATGTTTGAGGATGTTTGTTACTGACTTTCACACACACACTCAAGCACACACACACTCAAACACACCCACACACAGATTCTCACAGTAAACTCCAAAACACATTTGCTGACGCACACGTTTGCTTTGAGAAGAGAAAGGCTTTTGGTAAGTTTCAGTCTTAGGATTTTCAGTTCGTGCTTGACAACGAAAGAGAGAGGACCTGAAGAAACCAAAGGGGGGAGCCGGTTTGCTCGTTTCTCCCCCACCCCCCCACCCCCCCACCCCCCCCTCACGCTGTTCCTGTCAGCCAGACAGGACAGCTGAATCGCAACTTCTAACGCAGACTCATACAGAGTCTTTGATTTCTGAGTGAATTAACTTAAGAAAGCGCATCGGCAAAACGCTTTACCATCAACGTGTACCGAGGGCAACTCTGGACCGGTTCGCGGCGCATCTTTGTCTTCCTTGCCAGCCAAGGTGCCCTGGATGAAACATCATCCTAAGGTGACGTCCCGGGTCCAACAGGGGGTCCGATTTTCGGTGAGGCAGAACACGACAGATAGCATTTTGATGCATCTTTTCCAACTAAACCTAAGTTTATTCAAACCATCACTTTTCACTCAGACACCTGTTTCTTCCTGAAGCAAAATCAGATGCACACACGCATTCATCTCACCTCATGTTCATTTCTCACTACACTTTGCACACACACGCATCCATAATCACATCATATCACTCTCAATCTTCATTCACCAACACAAGGTCTATTTGATCATATCAACTGTTAAAGATTGTCCCACAAGTTGCCAATGTTGATTGTTATTCCCATGTTTGTCAATTTCAAAATCATTAGTCTAGTTTGAAGAATTAAAACTTTTAATTTCCAAACTTGTTTGTTCATTGAACTGAAACACAGAAACACAGATATTATCGTCAGTTTATCGATGAAAACAACCTTTGAGTCTTCTTAACAATATAAAATTTGGTTATTGATTTATTAAAAATTAATATTCCGAATTAATACGTAGCATGGTTCCTCTTTCATAAAAGAGCCTAAAACCACAACGCTACAATATGGCGAGCGTATCCAGACTTCTATATCTGCGATATATCTGATTTCAAACATCTAAAAGCTAATTTTTCACAAATTACGCCTTTTCTCTGTGTTTCACTTTGATGTCTTATTTTGAAAAAAAAAACGGAAATTATTCCGCTGAAGTCACTCTTCCGGGAGACGTCCTGGTGGAAACTTGACGGTGGAAGATCTCCGATCTCAAATTGTCCGCAAATTACAGACAGTACTTTGATTTATCCCATCTTCGCCTTCGGAGCGAACGTGTGAGTTGTGCTTTTGACTAAATTCTGCCCATTTTGATGCGACGCCGCGCCTCTAATCTCTTCAGGTCAGAAAGCTACATTTCCGCTCTGAAACTTGCTGGGTGAGCTACCGTGAGCAGCTTATCCTCAATCCTAAAATTAAGACTAAATTCTCCGAATTCTCGGACACCCTTCGTCTCAGTGTGTTGACACTGTGGGCGAGCTATTGTGGAAGATATTTCCGTTACGTAGGCGACTGATCAACGTCGAATCTTTCCCGGACGACTTGTTAGCAAATACCGTTAGCTTCACTTGCTAGGTAACCGCTGTGATTCGGGTTATATATGCCGGGGGCGTTACTGCACCCAGATTGCGTACGATTTGAAGTCCGTTTTAGCCGCGGAGCGAGATGCCTGCTTGGTTAATCGGGCAAATTTAAGTCTGGTCGCTACAGACGAAAAGCTAGACCTAGCCGGAGAGCTAAGCTAGCGAGCCACAGTTAGACAAAACGGGAACGCGTCCCATTAAATTGTCCAACCATTTCTGACACAGTCAGTCTGTGTCCTCCCGAAACCCGCATTGGCGGTGGTTCTTGTAAATCACTACGGTGTGTAGAATCGACATTTTGCTACGTGGCCTTCCGTCGGAGTAAAACAGAAGTTTGTCCGTGGAATACCATCACGTCCGCGTAGGTTTTTTTTTTATTTTTCTTTTGGAGCCAGTGAACGGGTCGGCATTCACAGCCTCCGTTGCTCGGTTCCATGCCTTTTTCTTCCATCTTGTGAAGTTGTGTACATTCCTTTCTCTATCAACAGCTCCTTGTTTTACCCTGTGTCATAAAGTTAAGTTGTGCAACGGGCGGTCCTTGATTGTGAGATGAATTAAGGATCTGTACCGGGCTCATACGTCGACTCAGGAGGTAAAAACGCGAGTTGCTCTGTTTTAATGAGAGATGGACGAGACACGACATAATCTTTCTTGTACTGTTACACCTGGTGTACGGTTCTCTGACGTTCTGCTTCCAGAACATGCCAAGACGCAGGAGACTGTTTACCGGCCGGGCTGCGCTGGTCCCGCCGCCCGCCCGAACGGGCCCGCATTAGTCGGGTGCCGCCGGTCGGGCGCGGTGGGGACTAGTGGCAGCGGTTCGGTGCCGGCTGCTCTGGGTCGGAGGTGGTTCTGGTTTGCACTTCATGACGTGAATTCAAGCAACATGCTGTTTACAGTCATAATGCTTTTTCTTTACCTTTATTTCTTCCAGGGGGTCAAAAACCCACCATCGATGTCAAGGTTTGAAATAAACAACACTTTCTCTGCTACTTTTAATCTGAATAAATCTCTTGAGCCTATGGTTAACCTCTCTGACAAACAGGTTGTGCTTAACCCTTTGGTTTCTGATGCTTTTTCTCTGTCACCCATGTTAAAGGCTGACCATCTCTCCAGCATGGGTGTGAAATCTTCAGGCTGTGATCCACCGCTTCAGTCAGGGGTCTGCTTTACTCATCAGTCCGCCTCATGCACAAACCGGCTTGTTTATCGGGGCGTGATGGAAACGTCAGCCGCCGTGAAACACTTGTGGTCTCCGGACGGAGCCACCTTACCATTTGCAGGGTTTGTGCCCAGACATCTTGACCTTTATGTGAATGACCTTGTCACTTTTCAGTTTGTGACCTCTGCTAATACGGTGGCCAATTCTTTTCTCCTTTCACAGGGGTGTGACTCTGTCTCTGGCCTCTGTGTTCTATTTCCTGTGATTTCTCTTTCAGGTGACCACGACGGCGCAGGAAAACCTGCGGTTTCCAGTAGTCAAGTGGTCAGTGCCGATGTTGAGGAAGCCTCAGTGGTTGCTGCGCACACCTCTCTCACGGGCTCGGGAAGGCCACCCGGCCCGGGAGGTGTAGGTGGGTGCAGTGATGCCCGGCTCGGGGCCCTGCCTGACAAAGGGGGGGTGCCGAGGGGCACTGAGTTTTCCGTTGCGGACTTCAGGCTGTTCGGGGGAAACCCTCCTCCGAGCGGGTGGGTCATTGCAGAATTCGACACTGACCTTCCATCGATTCAGCTGACAACTTTGACCTCCGACCCGGAGATAGGTGGTACACCTTCTAAGGGGCGGAATTCTAGTCAGTCTGGGAATACTCTGGTTAAACCGGGTTTTTCTGATTCTGTGTGGGAACCTCCATCATTCTTGGGAATAAAGTATTCTTGGCTTCAGTTTTCAGGGCAGAACATGTTCCTTTCGATAGTGTCATGTCTGTATCTGATTCTAAACATGGCTAGGTTTGCTTTGACACCCGTGACACAACCATCCTTGGATCACTCCTTTTCAGAACCTCCAAGTCCAACACCTCCAGGTCTTTGGACATCTGAACACCTACTCTTTCAGCACGATTCAGGTGACGCTGTGCATCTTTTTGGTAATAGGGCTTTTAAGAGCTTAAGAACTGTTCTTTGTTATGCTTCTCCTGTCTCACAGACATGGCATAAGTTTGAGAAACAAAAGGGGGGTGGAGAGCCTCCTCCTCCTTGCGAGCATCATTTTCGCATTTCCAGTTCACTACCATTTCTGATCACAACAAAGTCGCCTCCGTAAAGCTGCAACCCAACTTTGAGCAGGTAACATCAGGTTCTGATCTAACAGTTAAACCATCAGCTTCACTCGAGTTCCAAACGGGACCCTCAGGTAAATTCAAACAAGTTTCCCTGTGGGTTCGTAACACAAGATACAAACCGCTGGGTGACCAAATCGCTTATGAGATTGCTCCCACAGATAAATTCAAACTCGTTTCTCTGTGGGTTCGCAACACCAGATTCAAAACGCTTACTGAACGTATCGATTCTGACCGAATTCTTTTCCACTAAATGGTGGAACGTTACAAATTCAATCTTTGTGGGATGAATTTTTAACAAATGTGATATCCTTTGAGTTTTTTTTTCAGGTTACCTGCCTCCAGCCAGGGTCCTGTTACTAACTCACATTTTTAGGGATTACTAACCTGCTGATTTACATTTTAGAATTGATTGCCATCTCTATCTTTTTATTAGTGCTTTGTGTAGCATGATTATATTTGATAACAAATTTAATTTGATTTTGTTACTATTTCCCTTAAAGGGCAACAAGCCAATTTGCCCTTCATTTTCATGATTATTTCTTTTATATATATGCCTTTAATTAGTGCAGCCTGCTGAGTTTCACATATCAGTTAAGATTTACTTTCTTTTATTTGTGTTTTCTCTGCATCACGTTTCTACATGACATGTAGAACAGGGTGCAGAACATTTCTTCTTTAGATAATTCACAAAAGGCATCCACATTTTCCCAGAGGCACCCATAGATAGGTTTTGATTGATTTCTTTGATTTGCATCAAATGCTATCTATCGTGTGGGCTGTCTCACTTTGTCTCCTTCTCCGAGCTCGTATGGACTACATCCCATCAGAGGGGTCGTCTTCACCATCCTTCAACTGGTTTCCTGTCGCATGGGGCTTCGGTCGTGGTTCGAGATGGGTCGAGGTCTGCGCTGGACTTCACTTGGATTACGCCTGAGGAATACATCACCTGCCCAGCTCCGTGTGACACACGAGCTGCTTATCCTTTGAATACCTTTGCATTATTGCTGATGAAATTAACTGCTATTGGCATAGCCCTGCTTTCAAGATTTCCTAAGTGGATTACTTTACAATGATTGCAACAGTTTTGGCCTTAATCGTCTGATCAGGATATACTCCCTTCTATACGAGACCTGTGGAGACGCTTCATCGTTCCTGCCTTCATCTGGGATGTCTACCTTCACGAGTACATCACGTTATTGAGGTTGTGACGTCAGGTGGCCTCTGCTTGACCACCATGTCGTCACAAAAGGGGGGAATGTAACGTGAGGAAATATGGGTTTTCTGTCACAAAGCTGGTGTTTGACCCAACTGGGTCGCTCAGAACTTTAACACACAGATTGGGACCTTTGCAGACATGAAGTCTGCGAGAGTCTGGAAGAAGCCATAACATCTGCCACCTGCAGTACAAGAAGAAGGAGTTCTCATGGACAAGTAGTCATAACAAGTCTTAAAACGTCCTTTCTTGATTTTAATGTTAAAGAATAACCATTATCATTTTGCTCATTATAAATGTGTTTAATCAAATGAATGGTTCTTATGCTTTGGGTAATTATAATGGATTAATGAATCCATACTTAATTAGATAATGTTTGAGGATGTTTGTTACTGACTTTCACACACACACTCAAGCACACACACTCAAACACACCCACACACAGATTCTCACAGTAAACTCCAAAACACATTTGCTGACGCACACGTTTGCTTTGAGAAGAGAAAGGCTTTTGGTAAGTTTCAGTCTTAGGATTTTCAGTTCGTGCTTGCCAACAGGGGGTCCGATTTTCGGTGAGGCAGAACACGACAGATAGTGTTTTGATGCATCTTTTCCAACTAAACCTAAGTTTATTCAAACCATCACTTTTCACTCAGACACCTGTTTCTTCCTGAAGCAAAATCAGATGCACACACGCATTCATCTCACCTCATGTTCATTTCTCACTACACTTTGCACACACACGCATCCATAATCACATCATATCACTCTCAATCTTCATTCACCAACACAAGGTCTATTTGATCATATCAACTGTTAAAGATTGTCCCACAAGTTGCCAATGTTGATTGTTATTCCCATGTTTGTCAATTTCAAAATCATTAGTCTAGTTTGAAGAATTAAAACTTTTAATTTCCAAACTTGTTTGTTCATTGAACTGAAACACAGAAACACAGATATTATCGTCAGTTTATCGATGAAAACAACCTTTGAGTCTTCTTAACAATATAAAATTTGGTTATTGATTTATTAAAAATTAATATTCCGAATTAATACGTAGCATGGTTCCTCTTTCATAAAAGAGCCTAAAACCACAACGCTACATATAGTATGTTTAACTTTTCACGTTCAGTTGTAATAGCCGTGTTTTTGCCTGTGTCCACTAAGGATTTTCTTTATTACGTTTTATTAAATATCTTCAGTTTTACCTGGTTGACTCCTGGAGTTCCTACCTGCACATGGGTCCAACACCACTGGACTGCAACAGAGTAGGCTACACTTTGAGTGTATAAAATACACAAAATCTAATATCAGGCTATATTTAGAAACTGCTTTTTTTCCATTCCTAATATTTAATATAAACATATGTTCTTTAAAATGTCCTTCTGGAAATGGAAACAGCACACTGTAGAGGATTGCCTTGACTACATAAGAAACTGGAAGAATTTTAAAAATGATTTATTTTAAATTAAAAACAAGAATGCTCTGAATGTTTATGGTGTTTGCAGCTTTGAGATAAAAAAGGGGGAAGAAACCAAACAAAGTTTGTGATTTGTCTCATTCAGAATAATAATAATAAATCTGGAATGTTGTACAATTTCCCACATTTTCCTCTGAAGCACCTGCAAAGCTACTCCATGTTTTTTACACAACTATCTGCCGTTATCTGATCAAACAGGTACACAGTGAGTTCAGTCACATCACAAATAAACCTATGCTGGTTTAGTTTTGTCCTCTGATGTTTATGATGTCTCCAGCCAGACTTCACGGTAAGATATTTTTAAATTTTCACTCGAGTCCAACTCATCTTACTTCACGTACAAGATCCTCGTACAGCTACTTGGACTTGAATGGTACAAGAGCTGGCCTTGACACTATCCCATACACACACACACACACACACACACACACACACACACACACACACACACACACACACACACACACACACACACACACACACACACACACACTGAAGAGTCCAGTAAAAACAGTTCAGGGGGAAACGGACAGTCGAGTGCTCTTCTGCCAACAGAACACTTTGTTCCTCCTGAACGTAAACATGCTGATTTATCTCAACAGCTCTCTCTTCAAACATCGCCGCCTCTCTTCCTCCCCTTCTCTCCCGGTCTCCTCTTCAGCCTCTCTTTCTCTGCTGCTCAATGCCCCACTGCACCCCGCTGCCCTCTCCCACTAGGGGATTGTGATGTCTGTGTCAGCGCTCACAAACATCGGCGGCCCGGACCTCACCTTTTTATTCTCTCTCTCTGTCTACTGGTCTTGTGCAAATAAAAAAAAATGAAAGAAAAGCTCCCCTCTCTCTAACTAACCCACTGCTCCAGCCCCTGCAGAAGATGGAGAGATGCTGAGAGCGGCTTTGGAATTAAATGACAAATCAAATCCTCCAAACTCAGACTGGCCGTCCTCTTTACCAGGCAGACACTCGTGCTGCCCTTTTCTCCTCCCTCACATTCCCTTTCACAGATTGGTTCACGCCACCTTCTTGCTCACTTTCTCGTCCTCTGTCTCCCTTTTTCTAAAGGCAGAAGTTTGATGGCTGATGCTGATTTGAACAGAGCAGTCAGACTGACAGTTGACATTCTCTCTTTAAAAAAAGAACCCCGTCCTAGTTCTTTATTTTCATCGCTCTGCTCAGATTGTCAGACTATTGTCAGTGGTACAGTACAGAGGGGGGCTGGGAGGAAAGAAAAGGACAGATAGCAGCCTTATGTCTTCTTATTGTATTATTTTCAATAGACAGGGTGTGTGAACGTAAATTAAATGACCATACAGAATTGAATAAGCCACAATCAATAATAGAGTTGCTTTGTTTCATAGACATTAGTCAAATAACAGATTAGTGATAGGAAAAGTCCAGACTAAAGGATTAAAGGTGGGCCAGACCTCTAACTGAAAATATATGTTCACGTTGATCCGTCTCCCCCACCTGCTGTTAGCTCTGTGTACATTTTTACATTTTTACGTCTCTTACAATCATTTTTTGGTCCCGTACCTCTAAAAGGAAAATGATTTCCACAACAAATGATGCCATTATTGTAATTGAGTTTGTCCATGTGGAAAAACAATACAAGACAGGGAAAATGCCTAATGCCTGGTATTTTGTATACATGTCAGTTCGCATGATTGTAAGTTTAAATTGGGCTGGTCTGTGCATCGTGAGAGAAAAATGCAGTGGAGAAGCAGTGGTCCATGTGTGGACTGGGAAAGCTGCAGAAACGACTCTTACTGGGTGTAAATGTGTGCAGTGATGTTTGGTAATGATAAGTGAATGGTGGTACCTCCAGGAGTTTCTTGTAATTTTTTATCCACTTTTATATTTTATTTTTGTTGAATTCTCCAGATGTTGTATGGAGAATCTTGGTTTAAGTTAGGGTTTGTCATACTGAGGGTTGCTGGAAAGGTTTCTCACCCATGCTTTAGGAGAAAAATAAAACAGCTAAAAAGTTTGTTTTACTTTGGCTCATTTTATCTTTATTTCAGTTGTAAGGACTCAAAAAAAGAGCAACCTTTTCTCAGTGGAAGGTTGAGTTGGAGGTACAGTAGGAACATCAACAACAGGCCACAGGACAGACTACAAGGCTTTTGATGTGACTGTGTTGGGAAAGAAATTATGTGAGGGCACATTAGGGCCATTTAGACTAGAAACAAAAAAGAAAGAGATAACAATAAAGCTCAAATGTTGAGGGAAAAAATATTTGGGGGGGGGGGGGGATTAAACGAAACAAAAGGTTAAGATACAAAACAAAGATGTTTAGCCATCCCCTGTCCTTTCAGGGGACCCCTCCAGGACAAGGGATACATGAACAGGGTTAATGGTTTATCCCTTGGGGTCCACATGGCAGGGGTAAGGGGGCGCATTCACCTCACAAATAAAAATAAAATCAACCGGGGGTCCATTGGGCCCCATTAGGAATGCAGGTGAGTAAAAAAAAATAAAAGAAGAAGAAAGAAAATAAATAACAAACACTACATTTCAGCCTAAACTGAATGGAGGGCTTGCAGCAGCATGCAGGATTAGTTAAGAAACTGAGAGAAAGGCGAGCAAAACTCTAAAACAGTGGACCCCACAGGGACTGCAAAGGGCAAGATTTGGACCGAGACCCTTCAGATGTTTACAGGAGGACTCGCCACATCTAGATTAGTGAAGAAACTGGGAAAATGAAATGGAAAATGAATAAAAATCCACCTGGGGTCCATCTGACTTCATTAGGAATGTGGGAGGGTCCCATCTCAGGGACAAGAAACAGCCAATAATCCCAGTTTCCTATTGGAACTTTATTTTGGGTCATTTCGACAGACAGCATGCACGTGTCTCCATTTCACTGGACTGACCCAAAAGGACCATTTTTCAGGCCATTTCAGGGGCAAGTACCAGAACTAGAGTTTGACTCAGTAGAGCTGCTGGGCGGAACTTACAGTTAACTCATGCTGATTGTTGTAACTCAGCAGGAAACAATACTGAGAGATGTCATCAAACCACCAGTGTTGGTGAAATTGGAAGAGTTGCTGGTAAAACTAAACAGAAAGATGCTGCTTCAAAAATGCAGTTTCTAAACTCCCAATGTTGTAAATTTGGCGGCTTTGTCTACAGGGCACCGTAATAAATGTGCTTTTTCTGATTCTTAATGCCACTTTTTATGACTTGAATCTGCACAGAAGGGCCTTGGGTGTCTGTTAGTGCTTGTTTTTGTCTTCTTAAACGTTTGCTTTGCACTATCTTGCATTGGGAAAGAGAAGGAAACTCATCTGTGGGTAATCCTGTTGTCTAGTAGCTCCGGTTTGGGCCAACTGAAAACAATAAGTGCAATCAGGGGCAGTGAACGAGCTGTTTCTCCCCTCCCTGAAAACACTCATCAGTTCAGTTCAGTTCAGTTTTAGTTTATTTGTCATATGCAAGTTAGCACAGGGTCAACATTGCAATGAAACGTGTATGACGAGCAGCGGTCTCTCAGCAACATGATACAGGAGAAAATATAATAAAATATAATAAAAATATAATAAAATAAAGCAAAAAAATATAGTAAGGAGCAAAATATTAGAGAGACATGGTAAAAGGGAAAAGATGACTAAATATATATGTGTCAATAAAGAAAATCCTGAAAAGAAATATGACGGGAGGGCAGATGGGATATTGCACAGGAATGAGCTGCAGAAAATTACAGTATTGCACTTTAGATATAAATTACAGTATTGCAGGATATAAATTATGCAGGATATAGATTACAGTGTTGCACTTTGGATATAAATTACAATAACAATAAAGTGAAGTGACCAGTACGGATTAAATATAGTACTTGTGAAGCTGCAGGGTAGCTTCTGAGTCCTGTGTTGTGTGTGTTTAGGTGTTGTGGTTGAGGTGTCGTATGGCTTGATGATAGAAACTGTTTTTAAGTCTTGTAGTCCGAGCAGACAGACTCCTGTAACGTCTGCCAGATGGTAACAAGGAGAACAGCTGATGTGCCGGGTGGCTGTGGTCCTTGATGATGCTGTGTGCTTTC